TGACTATCAATTCACCGTGTGGACACGCGATTTTATCGTTTTATTTTTTAATCTATATATATATTTGCACTCATTCACGTGCCCGCCTCGAATATTCTCCACTCGTGAAAATATGTCATATAGAAAATTGGATCGTTTTTTATTTCCATTGAAACAATATATTTAAGTGCTCATGACTAATTTCTTGACAATATATCGAATAATACCGTTTATTAATACCTCTTTGAGCTTTCAAATTTGCCATTAGTCAACTATTAAAAAAACTCGTTATCCAATTTTTCCACGATTGTTAACCACGAGTGTAACGGGATGAAACAACGATCAGCAATTCGTCGCAAACAAAATCAATCGAGAGAAACCGATATAAAATTTTTTGCTTTCATTTTTTCCAAGATACAAGATACATCGTATATACCTGTACGAAAAATTTGGATTTTTAACAACGCGAATGCGACAGATGTACTTTCAAGCAACAATGGTTCGTGTAAATGGGGGAGAGGGGGAGAATGCGCCGTTTATTTTCATATACCGCGAAAAATATCGGGGGAAAGTACTCTATGAAAACATGTACGCGTAAGAGGAGATGAATTGCTGGTGAACTAAGTTCACAATGGGAGACAGATCGGTTGTGTTTTTGCAGATGGCAGTGATCCTGAATGCAACGACCCTTTCCATGCAAGGAAACGAGGATGAAGAGGACGATAGTTACGTTCCATACGACCAGCGACCTGAAACTTACATAGTACCCGTTGTATTCTTATTAATCTTGGTAGTCGGTGTAATTGGAAATGGGATTCTGGTGTTCACCCTCGTGTGTCACGCCAGTATGAGAAATGTGCCGAATACCTACGTTTTATCCCTGGCTTTGGGCGATCTTCTGGTAAGAAAAACCAAAACCTTTTTCGAGATAAATGAAACGAAGAGGGATATTTTAACGCTTGTTGAAAGGTGGCGAAAAAAATTCGTTGGAAAAATGTTTGCTTCTCTCGGACGAATAAATACGTTATTATTATATTCATAAAATATGCACGAGACGTTTAAAGATTCACTATATAAATCTGTGTATCCTATGAATGATCGAATAGATTGAATTAGAAAGATAATCGAGATTGATTAATTCTGATAATCAACGCGATTCGATTCATTATTATTCATAAATTACGATCGTTGTATTCTTCTTCCATCATACGATATTAAGTAAGATGTAATGGATAAAAATGTACGTCGTATTAATAAACATATCGAATGAATTCCGACAAAGTTGGCATGGATTTGTGAATATTCCATGCACAAATGAGAGAAAATCCCAAGACGAGAGCTTCTTTCCGATTCGATTGCCCGTCAATCGAAAAATGTTTCTAGAATCCGTGTCGTTTGTATCTGGAAATATCAGAATTTATTCAGAATTTGTTCAGATCGCGTTGATAAATCCGATGTGAGTGAATCTAGGATATATCCTATACTTTTTATGTCACGATTTCGCGTAGAAAATAAGCGAACGTACCTTCATACATCCAAAGTGAACATCCATTTCGCCAACTTTACGGACTTTGAAACTTTGATCGTCGTTCTCAAGTTTTCATCGTCGTAGATAACAATATTTTAATATGTGATTCAATGTATGTGTATTTTCGATAACGAGTTTAATTCGTTACATAATTAATTCGTGACATATGCGTTTTGATCGATGTATTATTTATAACTATGCAGAGGATTTATCGAAGATCAATGCGGTTTTATCATCCGCATATATCGCGAATAAAAATTGTATCAACAATTACACTTTTTTAAATAACAATCGTGCGTTCAAGCACGAAAAGAAGACGCGTGTTTTGATGATTATGCGACTATGAATATTCTATGATGGCTCTTTATCATAATTTCTCCATCGTTTCGTAAAATATAAAAAAATATGCGCACATATTTGAAATAGAAGATGGCAAGCATTGATCGAAGAATATTTTTCTATAAAATATCTCTCGGTGTGCTGTTCTATAACATAAACACGATCCTATGACAAGCTGCGATCTATTCAATTTGTCGCGAATATTTTTAATTGTGCTTACTCCCTATCACGGCCTTTTAATTTCAATTTGCTAGAGCAACAACGACACATTCATAAATGTTGATAAATGTTGATAAATGTTTCTCGCGCAATTACAAATTGTCGGGTACTATTTATTTTATTTCTTCTCGAATTTTGTTCCGCCCATCTGCAAATATCATTTTCATCTCCGTTGGAGATTAGCCTTCTCTATCCTTTCTCCATATATCGTACATACCCGAATTAATTAAATTTCGCGGCAGGATCGCGCAAAAATATTTTCCAATAATGATCATTTCCAACAATGAAATTCTAATTAAACATCTCGCTTATGATTTTTTTAGAAAATACGGAGTATTTATCGAAGCTTTATCAATCATAGGTGATCATAACGTGTGTACCGTTCACGTCGCTTCTGTACACGATTGAGTCATGGCCGTGGGGCCTGGCAGTTTGCAAATTATCGGAGTGCGCCAAGGATATTTCGATCGGTGTCTCAGTTTTCACTCTGACCGCGTTATCAGCCGAGAGGTAAGTTGTCAAATCCAGTTACGGTTGGGAAATTGTTGTCCCAGGGATAGGGCAGCTCTTCCAACTTTGACAAAGTTCCGCCCCATTAATGGACCAATCGACTGGTCGTTCGTTTCTGTTTAATCAGTAATCCAAACGAAACTTTAAACGTTGAATTAAAATTTTCCTTCGATGTCCCTCTACAATCCTGTTGTTAAAACTTTTATTGTTGTTCAATTGTAATTGTCGAGGAAGTTCGATTCGTGTACGATTGTATGAAAAAAAAAAA